ACTGGTTTCTTTTATATTGCCGGACACATCGATATTGCAGACCATTTCTGCATTTCGTGAAATCTCCATATCACGTGATAAATCATTCATATGAAATGGATCTACCACACTCGGTACATCCGGGTGTCGCGAAATGTCACCAATTGTGCTACATGATGTATTTGGCATTTGGATGTCTGTCGTACTATTATGGATTATCGCAGAGTTCTGGGAATGATTCATATTTTTTGGAGTAACTATGTTACGAGAAAGGTCAGCATTACGTATCGGTTCACTGTTACTGGAAACGTTAATAACACGCAATTCGATGGGTTCAACGCTACGGCTGATAATTGTTTCACGTGATGGTTCTACGTTACGGTTAATAATTGTTTCGCGTGATGGTCCGATGTTACGGCCAATAATTGTTTCATGTGATGGTTCAACGTTACAAATAGATTCGACGGAATGGGCAATTATACTACGAGATGTGTCGGTAGTGCGTGATGCATCAGTTGTCCCGTTTGGGACATCTGCCTTTCGAATGACTGGTGAAACAGTATCCGCTGCCGCAGATTTATTTTTCTTGCCTAATTTATGGAAATGATCTTTCAGTCTTTTAATTGCTTGAATTGGTTTGTTTACACGCCTATAAACATTTTTATGTATTTTTTCTATATATGTTTTTTTAAATTTTAAATTTTATTTTTTCCTTCGGTTAGTTGGAAAATTTTTCTGCAAAATTTCAATTTCAAACAATAAAAAATTGAAAATTCCATATAGATGATAGGAAGATATCAAAAAAAAAGAATCTCAGGATGGTCTCTTTTAGGATTATTTATGCTTAGTGCTTAGTTTTATTTGTTTCTATAAAAAATTAAAAAGCCATAAAATTAATTATTTTAGGAAAAACTAAATTTATATATAAGGAAAACGACAGATTTTGCTAACTTTGTTGCTCGAATATCTTTTGCTTTTTCAGACATTTCTGGAAATATGAACTTTTTGGAACTGTTTAATAATTAGTTTGAGTATGTTTAATAATATGAACATATTTGGTATCTTTGATAATTTAATAATTAATATGAAAGCTTTAGTAAACTTTATACCTTTCCAAATGTTTTAATCAAATTTAATAACAAAAATTCATAAGTTTCCTATGTTTAACGAAGCTTTTACTCTTTTTAAAAATTTATTCATAATTCCAAAACGAGGTAAGAATGAAATGGTAAAATATTTTACCAGCAAACAACCTCCTTTCTAAATTGATTATCAGTACATGAAATAATCGTATCATTAATTCTACACATATATCTTTTTGTTTCCTTCCTTTCTTTACTAATTTTTATTTATGAATATTCAAACATTGCCCACAGCATAATTTCATCAAACACTATAAAGGCTTCTTGGCTTACTTCCTGTCCAAAGATTAACAGAATGACTCATTTCTGTCTTAATTACTAACGGTATACCTAAATGTAATCACTGTTCTTATCTTGCAATCAATAAGAGATACTCAACGATTCCAACAATATGTTATGATTCATTTGCCATCTTTCAAAATTGCTAAAATGTGTATTTTCGATCGATTAACAACGCGCAAAAGTCTCAAACTGCTATCTTTTGAAGTTACAAAAAGGTGAAATTCTTGATCAATCAATAATGCGTAAATGTTTACTGCCTTTTTTCAAAGTTGCATAAGTAATTGTAATCTTCCAGTAATTCAAAATGTCCATCGATAATTATTAAAGCTTACTGAGCTGTACTGTTAGTATGATAGTAAATTTATCGCTTGTTTATATGGGAGACTTTAAAAATTTATTTATCATTAAGTCAAAAATGATAACATCGTTTCAAACTAAAGTTAAAATGCAAAAATCTATAAATACTTCGCATCCAAACTGACAGAAATCCTTTTCGATTTATTGAAATTTCAGGGGAAAGTATTACTTGAAATTGGTTCATTTCCAGGATCGGAAGCATTATAAGTCTGAACAGGGCAATAATTCGTACATTCGTCGAAGAAATATTTCTGATCTCTGCGAGAGTTAGTTTTCTATGTTCGAAACATTTCTTTCTTTATTTTTATGATATGAATGATAGTAATGGCGCTCAATTTTATGGTATTATATATAAGTTCGCTTATCTCTAAACCATTACACATCCATTTTTCGTTTGGTTTTCTATCAAAAAATTTTCGATAAAATTTTTAGAAAATCACATCTAGTGTAATCGCAAGAAATATAAGTTTTGGTCGCATTAATCCGAGCCTTCGCAG